AACTGCAATTCGAATCTCGTCACTGTTATTAAATGCTGATGACACGTATGGTTGATGTGCATGAATCTCATAGTGTGCCACAGAATCATCAAATTTAACTGGACTTAGAATGTTTAAAATTTCTTCTATTTTTGTTACAACAACAAATAAAAAGTATGTGAAAAATCAATTTTTTCCCTTGTTTTCTTGATAAACTCTTAGGCCGATCTGCTTCAGAAATAGTATGTTACGAGATGTTAGTCTCTTGCGAACTGATTGAGGAATAAATGACTTCTGACATGGCAACTCTTTTATATAGCTTCCACCAGTTTTTCTATGAAATACAATTCCCATTACGTTGATTTAACGTGTAATCGAATTGTTATAGTTTCACCTCTAAAATTTATTAAATCTCCGTCTTGATCAACGACTCTTATTTGAATATTATGTTTTGTCTTCACGGCGATTGGAAGATAAATGACGTGAGATGGAACTTCCACAATCTTATATCCAGCTGGTACAATTGGAAAAAATTCATGAATTGTGTGTACCTTTTTATTATTTTTGTATGCACCAGTAGTAATGTTACATTCAATTCTGATAGCATTCACCTTAAGAATAGCTACTGGTACATCTGAAGTATGAGGCTTATTAGCTATCAATATTCGTAAAGTAAATCCTAATAATTCACCAATTGAATCGTTTTGTTCAAAACTCACTTCAAGGCTGCTTATTATTTCACTACGTGAAGTATTATTGTTAGGTTTGATTCTTACAATTTCAGGTCCATTTTCAATAGAGTTTTGAATATATTTTTCAATATCTTTAATTTCATAGCTTCCAGGGGGTATAGTAATCACTTTATCACCAATATAAAATTTACTTTTACCTTGATCGATATTAGGAATTGAATTGAAAGTTAGTAATTCAACTAAGCCAAGTACATAATTTTTATAAGATAATAATTCTATCGGAGGAAAATATTTTGCCTCCAGGACAGATGAATTGCCTGAGATAGTCAGAGTAAAGGATTCTTCCATGTTGATGACTTTTTATTAACTGATTAGGTGGAATGACTTACAATCACTTATATAGAATATATTTTTTAGTTATTTTAAGCTGTCCACATAAGAATTTTAGATATAAATGACCACAATTAAAGCTATTATAATCTTGATAATTTTGATGATTATACTGTATTAAAGTATTGTAACCTAAGTAATTGACAAGTTCATAGGGTGGCTGAAGATTACCAAAACTATCAAAGTATACTCCTTTATTATTAACTTTTTTATATGCAACCCAATGAGTTCCAGAACCATCTTTATCATCTAAATTAATAATGGCGGATTCATTTTTTCGAGGTCCTTTTATAGGTAATTCATTTCGCATAAAAACTCCTCGAAAATGAGAAATCTTCATGTCTTTGGCATATTTAAGTAAATCTAGATCTGTAAGTGCTCGTTGAGGCAGCTTTAAACTTTTTTTTCTACATCGTCTTTTAATACCTTGTCCTTTAACGTATGGTTTCAAATGAAGTCCCAAACCTTGTCCGTATGGTTTTAAATGTATACCTTTGCCAAGTGCCACTGCTTCCAACTCTCTATTATGACGCTGAGCTTCCTTCAACTGCTCTTTTGCTGCACTTGCATTATTAACAGCTTTTGCTACACCAGCAGCTCCCCCAGTAAGCGCTCCAAGTGCACTTAGACCAGCGAAAATTGGAATTAATGGTAACAGACCACCAACTTTTGATGGAACAGGTAAAATACGAGGTGTTTAAACCTTTTCTCTACCACCTGCTTTCCTTACAGCTTTTCGATCTGTTTCAATAGCTGACTTTATTTTTAAACGAGCACCATTACCAGGAATTATTGATTTTCTTGCAGCATCAACAATTTTTCTAAGATTTACTCGTTTTTTTGATTTTATCTTCTTAACTCGTTTCTTTGACTTTGTCTTCTTCTTCTTTACTCCCATTCCAAATTTTGATTTTGCTTTCATAGCGTTTGTTATTGCGTAAGCTGCAGCTCTTTCACTATATCGTGCGTCTGGAGCAAATACACGTTGCCACGCTTTGTCAGCCAATACTCTATCAGCAGCGTTTCTTTCTTCAACGTTTTCTCGATTTTTCGAGTAAGCAATATCGTGCTCTTTACAAGCGGCGTCTAATGGATTAACACCTGGATCACCTCGGTCTAGACGTTTTGCTAACTTTGTGCCTGGTCCACAATATTGATAACCTGGCAAATGTAATTCAAATAGTGACTTGTTTATAAGTTTATTAATTAACCCTTTTCCTTGAGAGCGATGATGTATAATTATAGATTACTCTGTAAAAGTTAAAATTAGAATGACTTGTTAGCTATATAATTGCTGTATTTATACCTTTAGTGGCAGTCTAAATCAGGATGCGGTTCAATGAACAACTTCACAAGCTGCCAGTCGTCAATCTAGACTCGATTGTTGAACAACAAGAGAAGAAAGTGAAGCGTCATGGTAGTTTATTTTCCGGTAGTATTCGAGCTATTTTTTGTGGACCATCAAATTGTGGAAAGACAAATGTACTCCTTTCTTTAATTTTACATCCTAATGATCTTAGATTTGATAATATTTACTTATACTCAAAGTCTTTACATCAACCCAAGTATAAATTCTTAGAACAAGTTGTAAGTAATGTTGGAGGAGTAGAGTATTTACCATTTAGTGAGCATGAAGAAGTCATTACTCCTAAAGATGCAAAACGGAATTCAATATTTATATTTGATGATATTGCTTGCGAGAAGCAAGATAATGTAAGGGCATTATTTTGCATGGGTAGACATGTTGATGTTGATTCTTTTTATCTTTGTCAAACATATGCCCGCATTCCTAAACATTTAGTACGTGATAATGTTAATTTACTAGTTCTTTTTCGTCAAGATGAGAAAAATTTAAGGCATGTTTATGATGACAACGTTAATACTGACATGACATTTAATCAATTTCGAGAACTATGTGCCACATGTTGGAATTCAGACAAGTATGGCTTTGTAGTAATTGATAAGGATTCTGATTTAAATGATGGAAGGTATAGAAAAGGATTTGATAGCTTTGGAACACTATAAATATAAGATCAATCCTAAAATATTGTTAGTTCAATATGAAACCTTGTAATAATAACATGTTTCATAAAGAAAAAGAATATCTTCATCAAATTGCTAAAGCTAGCGAGGCAATTAGGCAAAAACATCGTATGTTAAAATTAGGAAAAGAAGAAGCTGAAAATGTGCAGACTGAAACTTTTAAACCGATAGTTCAACCCTTACAAAAAATTATTAACTTGACAGACACTGAATATGAAAATGTCAAGATTGAAAAGAAAGAGCAGAAGATAGATGATAGCATAAACTATGAAACTGAAAAATCTCCAGATGATGATAAAATAAGTAATAAATTTCTATACTTATTAAATCATGATAGAAAGCAATGTTTAGATTCAACATACGGCGTACGTAAGCTAAGTGATGGGTCACTTATGATTGGTGATTCACCAATAACTCTTGAAGATCGGCATGTAAAAATTGGTAATAAACGATATCTTCAAACGCTTGGATTACTTGAACTTTTATTTAAAGTAAACCTGCTACATCGCTTGTAAGTGAAGATGATGAAAGAAACTATAAAGAAATTATGATTGCTACTAATGCACACAAAAAGAAGTATAGTTCCTCTGAATCTATACGCACGGATAAGAGTTACAAGTATTTGAATTTTATATCTCAATTCTTCCCTCGAACACCTACCAAACAGCCATCTGTAAGCGGTAGTTCATTACCTAAATTTATGATTACAAACAAAAAATTTTAACGAGAATATATCTATTGGAATGATCCTATTGAGTTGGTTGACCGTCTTAGACTATTAATGGCTTCTCAAGCTGCTGAAAATAAAAAATAATAATTAATAAATACTATTATAATAATAATAATAATAATAATAATAATAATAATATAATATAATATATAATAATAATAATATAATAATAATATATAATAATATATATAATAATAATAATAATATTATAATAATAATTATTATAATATTATTATTATTTATTAATATTAATTAATAATTATTATAAAATAATGAAATCATGTCTATTATTGAGGAACTACGTGAAGCTAAAATTATATATTAAGATGTGTTTTAGCAAATATCATTCATTTCAACAATGAGCATTGACGTGTTCGGACATCCTCTCAATCAAAGAGGAACAGCAAGACGAGGGCCTCCTGGAGTTGGTTTTAAACTTAATTCTCAAGGTAACTTTGACGTTGAAGGAAGGAAACTCTCTAATCTTGCTAACGCTGAAGAAGAAAACGACGCTGTCAATTTAAAACTTGTACGACATATGATAAAACACGAAGTGCGTTTATTGTATGAAGCTAGTGTCTCACTTAGATTAGAGGTGGACAATAACAAGTTATTTCTAAAAGTTCTTGAAGACTCTATTACAGAAAAAATAAAAAATTTTGAAAAAGATATAAATCAAGACTTATCTTATCGAACAGCTGAAATTATTAGTGAATTGGATACTCGCTTAAGTGCTCTCGAGAATGAACAACAAAAAATTAACAGTAGTGAATGAACTTCATACTCAGGCTAGAAAAAATTATCCTCGACGGCGAGTTGAAATGCGTGATATTGATGAGACATGGCAAGCAGATTTAGTAGAAATGATACCTTATTTAAGAATAAATAAAGGTTTCAAGTATTTACTAACAGTTATAGACATATTTTCAAAATATGCTTGGGCTGTTCCAGTAAAGAGTAAAAGTGGAAAAGATGTTTCTCATGCACTGCAATCTATATTTGCTAAAAAACGCATACCAAAAAACTTGCATAGTGACAAAGGGAAAGAGTTCTATAACTCACAATTTGAATCATTAATGAGAAAGCATAAAATAAATTTTTACTCAACATACAGTAATATGAAGGCTTCTATTGTTTAACGGTTTAATCGAACACTAAAAAGAAAAATGTGGATGCAATTTAGTTTGCGGGGAAATTACAAGTGGTATGATATATTGCCTACTCTTATTTCCAACTACAATGATACCAAACGTAGAACAATTGGAATGAAGCCTAAAGATGTTACATCAGAAGAAGTTGAAATTTTAAAAGAAAGGATCTCTAAACTGAGAAAAATTCCTTTAAGACGACCAAAGTATAAAATTGGTGACAAAGTTCGAGTAAGCAAATATAAAAACCTTTTTTGAGAAAGGATACACACCCAATTGGACAACAGAAATATTCACAGTGGATCAAGTTGTATCAACTCAACCAGTGACTTACAAGCTCAAGGATTAACAGAATCAACCCATCAGCGGAGGATTCTATGAAGAGGAACTTCTTAAAGTAAAATATTCAGATATTTATCTTGTGGAAAAAATTCTCAAGACACGTGGAAACAAAGTTCTTGTCAAATGGCTTGGCTTTGATAATTCTCACAATACGTGGGAAGATAAAGCAAATGTATAATCTATTATTCGCAAATCGTCCCCAGTAACTTAACGCAAATGTCAATCAACCAGCAAATCAATCAAAGATTAACAATGAATCATTATTAAATCAGTTGGCACTGGCATTGTGAAAGTCTGTTGTTGGAAGTAGTTTTGATTTATAAAGAGATTCTACGCTAACATTAATCTTTGATTGCTTTGCTAGCTGATTGGCATTTGCGTTAAGTTACTGGGGGCGATTTGCACATTTAAATTATATTACATTAATATAAGTTTTAATCATATTTTATTATGTATATATGGAAGGATTTTTTAAATAAAAACACATGGAAATTAAATATAATTGCATTATTTATTAATAAACATTTTATTTTTTTTACAATCATGTTTTACAAAATCATTCGTCGATTGTGGGGATCGCATAATGTCCCCACGGTAGAGTGTCGGTACTACCCGGTAACAAATATCGTTTGTCGTTTTGTGGACTTAAAGCTACTTTAATTTGTTTTATAGTCTCTAAATTATGTAACCGTGACCTTATATTGTACTGCGTTTTGGTTTGAATTTCAAAATTGTTAAGGCATTGTACATAGTCATCAAATTTTATTGTCTTTTTGACGACTCCTGCTTTAATACCTTTTGCTTTCTTAACGAAATCCTCACCTTCAACGCGTATGCTATACATTTTACTCCGCAAGCCAACAAATTCGGTAACAATTTTACCATTGCATTTGTCCTTCATAAGGCCGAGCACTTTTTTGTTGACTTGCGGCATGTCATACGCGTTGTCTGCGGGAAAATCAGATGTGTCAAACTTGTCAATCTCGTCTTTCATGTCTTTGTATATGTCTTGACATTTCACTTCGTACACTAGACTGTCTGTGTCCGTGTACAACAGTTTACATGCTGCACCATATTTCTGGAGCATGTAACTGTAGGGAAAGTCATAGACTAGCGTTTTCGAGATATCCAACACACTTAAACCCACATAAATCGTTTTATTGAGTAGGATTTCAGTCTTGCGCAGTTCGATGGACACAAGGTCCTCATCGAAGATCGCTCGACTGTGGAAATTGGGTCGAGAGATAAGGGCTTCGGCACCATACCGACCGTACCAGTGTGTAACCAACTTAATGTCAACATGCTTGCGAACATTTTCCATGGTCTTGCCATACATTGCATTATTCATTAATTTGAATAAATTCTTTTCGAATTCATTTTTTGCAGAGGTTCGCATAGCAGTGTTATAATATATGTAGGGTTTTAACCATTCGGATTGGTTGAATTCAAGCACTCGGTGGATTTTTACGAGTTTCATACCGTTTCCGAAAGCCTGTTTTAATGCACGATAGTGTATAACATACTTCTCTTTAGGCAGGAGAGTTGTAAGTAATTTCTCCTGCCTGGTCATGGGGGGTTTTGAGCTACGTAAACCTGACAGAACCATATTGTCGGATCATGATGGGACCTATTGCATAATTAAGGGCTCATTTAGGGCTAATTTAATGCCCCATTGACAAATTTCCGGCCCTTTATATTTTTAAAAAAATCCATGGTTTTGTCACCCTTACTTCAAGCTGGCAGAACCACCTTCAAAAATGCTTAAAATGGCGTTTTAACAATTTTTCAATGTACGACAAATTTCGGCTCAATTTCGGCTTCAAGTTTCCACAATAAAAATTAATTACACTGGAGCTTCACTTATTTTCACTAAGTCCAAACAAACTGAAAGGCAAAGTCGCACTTATTTTCACTCTGAAACGTAACATTCGAGTTGATTTGATTGGTGGATTCTTTAACATCAACCAATGAGAACGCACGGAGAACCATTTAACTGAAAATAAGTGAGACTGGAAATGGTGAAAATAAGTGAGACTGAAAATAAGTGAGACTGAAAATAAGTGAAGCTCCAGTGTAATATTATAATTTAACAAAAAATTTAAAAAGGGCTGACAGATAATTTATCCCCTTGGCCTTGTTTTTCATTAACTATTTATACTCTGAATTACTTTAATTAATTCCATTTCTACCACACTTGGTATGTAAAGGTTTTTTCAGGGTTTTATGATTACGAATCTAAAATCAAAATTCAAAATGGCGTATCCAATATGGCGGACAAAACAAATTAAAAAAACCGGACAAGTGCGAGTAGAACTCGTAGTAAAACCGAGGGTTCCGTACCCTTGTTTGAAACTTCTACTTTTTTGCTGAAAAAATATAAAGATCAACTTCAATATTCAGATAAAAAACTGTGGGCGCTAGGGTAAAAAACATGCTTTTTTGATGAAATTTTTAAAAACTTTGTGTTTTTCACTGAAAAAAATATGAAGATAAAATTCAATCATGTTCGGTGTATTTTTCCTGAAATCTACACATGAAAATACATAAAATAAGGAAAACTGTAGTCCAATAGGCCAAGAATTGTGAAAACCAGGGGGGTACACACTTTTTTTTTAAAACGAAAAAATTTTTTAGTTTTTCGCAAAAAAAATATGAAGATGAATTCCAATAATTTTTTCTGTATGTTTGTTGAAATCTACACGAAAAAATAAATAAAAATGTATAGCAACAGTCCACTAGATTAAGATTTGAGAGAACCAGCAACGGTTAGAGAATTTTCGAGCTTGCAAAAAGAGATTTTAGTTTTTCGATGAAAACACCATGAAGATCAATTCTAATCACTTCCGCTATATTTTTCCTGTAATCTATGCGTAAAAACGAATAAGTATACCAATTTTCAGCTCTTTGGATAAAAAACTGGGCGCCAGGGGGGGGGGGGTACATACATTTTTTTCGAAATTTTCAAAATTTTCGAGTTTTTCGATGGAAACACTATGAAGATCAATACCAAATATGTTCGCTATATTTTTCCTGTAATCCATTTCTGAAAATACATATGCATACCAATTTTCATCTTTCTAGGTAAAAACTGTGAGCGCTAGGGGGGGGAATACATGCCTTTTATTGCGAAAAACGGCAAAAATTTGATGTTTTTCGCGGAAAACTCTATGAAGATCAACTCCAATTACGTTCGCTATATTTTTCGTGCAATCTACGCGTGAAAATACATATGTGTACCAATTTTTAGCTCTCTAGATGAAAAACTGTGAGCGCTAGGGGGGGTATACATGGTCATTTTCCGTAACCGTTTTAATAGGGTTCCTACCGGGTACGGAACCCTAAAATCAACAGAATTTACTTGAAACTTTTTACTGTGAAGTTTTCAGGGTTTCTGATGATGAATCAAAAGTAAAAATTTCAAAATTGAATATGTAGGATCCACACTGAAAAAAAATATTCTAGTTATAAAAAAAAAATTCCTCTTGCAAAAATCCTCTTGAATCAAGAGGAATATTCTTAAACGAAGAGTATTTTTCTCTTATTCTAAGAGGAATATTCTTAAGTGGAGAATAATCCTCTTCAAATAAGAGGATTATTTTTGAGACATACACCCAGAGAAATTGTATATTTGTCTTAGAACCAACTAGACCTTTTATCCGATTTAAATAAATTTTATTTGGTTTGAATGAAATTTTATTTGGCTCAAATATATATTTTATTTATACCGAATAAAATTTTTATTTAAAACAAATAAAAAGTCTAGTTGGTTCTGAGACAAATATACATTTATTTAACAAAAAAAAATATATTTGAAGCGTTTTGTGCAGAAACAGCATAAGTCCATAATTCGAAATTGTTCAGGAATCAATAAAAACTGTTTTTCTCGTAAATGTTAAGATTTTTTTAATTCAGCTTTTTGCATTATATTCTATTAACCTATAAGTTAAAAAATCCAATATGATTAATTAATTATCTACTTAATATAAAAAATTAAAAAATAAATTAACATTTGGACTTATGCTGTTTCTGCACAAAATGAAATGAAAAACACAGAAAATTTATTAAATCCAGTAAAATATCAAAGTTTTATGAAATATTTAATAACATTTATTTAAAATATTAAATTTGGATAATTTTTAGTAACATTTTATAAATAATAAAATTGTTTTAAGAATAAATTTAACCAATTTTCAAAATTTTCTAATTTTTAAATAATTTAGTCACCACTGTCACTTTTTACTTCCCATGAGTGTTTTTATATATAACTAGCGTCATATTCCTCGCTCGCTCGGAAGACATTTTACTTATCTATTTCCACTTACATAAATAGTTTTTGAGGTAAAACTTTGTTTAAAAAATTTTTAACGTCAAAAACTCTCCTGATTAAGCTAATTTTGTTTAAAAAAATCTTTAACTTCAAAAACGATCCTTATACCTCATACAGTATGAATGCAGGCTAATTGTTTATAACATTTTTACACCAATAGGTCTTTTTTAAAAAATTATGTAATATATGTAATATATGTTTTCGTAGTGGTTTTTAGCGTAGAATCAAATAGCGCTACAAGTTTCTTATAAAAATAGACTTCTTTTCATTTGTTTATAAAAAAAAATTGTTAAAAAAATATTTTTTTAACATTCAACGACAAAAATTATCATTAGATCCCATGCCAGGATTCCAATAGTTACTTTTATTATATCTGCATTCCTTTGCCTATATAGGCATCAATGGGTTAATGTAAAAAATCTTTTCCTTAAAGCATTTTTTCAGTTAGTAGAAAATAAATTTGACACAATAACGTTTGACTTTTGTTCAACTGAAGATCATAACAATACAAAATTAGAAATATAAGCCTGGATAAAGTGTGGAGGAAAAGACTTTTTACAATAAAAAAGGAAAATAATGTTTATAAAAAAGTTAAAAATATATTGTTAAACTGTTTATAATAATAATATATATATACGTATATAATTAATAAATGTATTAGGGGCAAGCAGTAAAGGTCATATCATCTTTTAAAATACACTGATATAGGCGCTACTTAGTTAGCGCAACGCACAAAAACTCGTAGCGCAAACTTCAAAAATTTTTTTCTCAAAAACATCAAAAAGCACTTCTTTAAAAATTTAACCACTTATTATTAATTTAAGAAAAATCGGTGATCCACCATTTACTTTTCGTATGGAACTGCCCTTGATATAAAAATTTTAATTTGTAGTATATCAAATAAATAGTTATTTGTAGTAGTGATGCCGCGAGAGTTCTCTCGTCCATGCAAAAAGTCGAGACGAGGCGAGAATTTACGTGTTATCGTCTCGTCTCGCGGCATCACTAAATTTTGTAGCAAATTCGAATTATTTAAGTCAAATGAATGGAATAATTGGATTTAATAAATATTGCTTTAAATCAATTAGGAAAATTACTTGATTCAGTAATGCATGGATTTTAATTCAAATAAATATTTATTTGCATCAATAAAATAATTTTTTTTAAATAACTAAATATTTATGGGACATTCCGCACGTCAACACGGACAGAGCTCTAAACAAAAATTGCTTTGATAGATTTAAACGTTCTAGGGCTTAAAAGATTTCTACATTCATGTACTTTAAGTTGGTGATGGGCGTTTTTTGCAAATTTTCATTTCCGATGCCAATAGAGCTGTCAAAAGTCAAATGGTCCAAAAAATTCAAAATACTTTAATGAATTAAAAGCAAAAATTGGACAAGTGCGAGTTGTACTCGCACTGCAATGGCGGGTTCCGTACACAAATATTAAAACAATACTTGCAACATTTATCGGTAATTAGTAGAATTAAAATAAACAATTGAAAAAATATATTAAAATCATTTGATAAGAAGAAATAACTAAAAAAAATTAAAGTATTGTATATCTAATATTGTAAACAATAATAAGCAGAGGAACAAAATTTTCAAAATTATAGTTCCTCTGCTTATTATTGTTTACAATATTAGATATATACAATACTTTAATTTTTTTAGTTATTCTTTTTTATCAAATTATTTTAATATATTTTTTTAATTGTTTATTTTAATTCTACTAATTACCGATAAATGTTGCAAGTATTGTTTTAAATTGTTTCTCGAGCGCTCAGAATGCTGGGCTTTGTTATGAGAGGTGCCTCGGATTTTCGTAACAAAGTTGCAATTAAAGTTTTATATTTTACATTAGTGAGATCCATTTTGGAATATGCCTCTGTAGTCTGGGTACCACTCTATACTTTCAATATAATTAAAATAGAGCGTGTTCAAAACAAGTTTTTAAGATTTGCTGCTCGGCAACTCAATTTACCTTTTTACTGGAACACCCATGAT